GCTAAGCAGAGCAGTGCTTCCTGAACCCTGACGTGGAGCAGCTAACTCCACCCATCAGCCACCCACACCTAGTCAAACACTCTACCACCCAAGACAGGTACAAACCAGGATCAACCAAACCCTCACAACAGCACAGCTCAGCAATGTTTTCACAGGAAAACCTGGATCAAAAGGAGTGTGAAGTTGCAAGCATCAAAACAGACTCATTTGTGTCAACCTGAACGACAACACAAAGTCAATAAACTGGGATAGCCATTGGCTTGCACAGATCACCGTAAACTTGTTTGAGAAGTGATTCCCCATGGACCTCTGCCTAGCACCTCGGTTCAGCCCCAGACTGACACAGGTGGAAGCCCCGGGGCACAGGCTTCAGTTATCCTGGTGAGCAAGCTGCTATACCTCAGAGCTCTTAGGGAAGACAGACTCTCAGGAGAGACGCACACCCGTGCTTAGCGCAGCGCTGCCTGCACAGGAGCCTCTGCAAGGAAAGTCAGCTCCAACAGCACTATGACCGGTGAACAGATAAGGTGTGCAGGGTGGAGCCGCAGGGGAGGCTGCGGGCAACCATGACAGGATTGGTCTGGTTGGCATGGCTTCCTACAATCTTCCTGTCTGGAAAAGGCAGTTTCTCCCCAGTCCAGGCGAGCTGTCTTCTGCACCGGAACTGCACCTGTGTTTAAAGAGAAGGCACAGGGCAGGAGGGCACAGACTGAGAGCCCACAACTGTGAGCGCAAATAAACCCTCTGAGAGGGAGAGAGGGGAAGGCTCCAGGTCACTTTGGGGGATGGGGTGTTGTGCGCAGGCACCACCATGCCTGGTTGAGTGCTGGGAAAGGGCCTCTTGAATGTTATGCAAACACTCTGCCAACAAAGCCACATCCTCAGCCAATATACAAATGGATTCTTTAAATGTTCTACCATCAGATGGACGGGAGCTGAATGTTCTGGGAAGCTCTGAAGCCAGAATTTTCTGGAAGCAGAAGTCACAAAGGGGGACCCAGGAGCATGTTTAATGACCTAGAGCCAGGGATTAGAAACTGGGCATGGACCGAAATGTCCTACAGCCTCCCACAGAGCAAACCATGGTATCCCTGAGTCCCTGCTAGATGACTGACTGGCTGCTGGGTGGCAAATTTCAAGGCTCTTTCTCCATGTCCTCGGATAAACTTGCAGGAGCAGGCTCAAGAATGAACCCCAAAGCCATGTGTGGTAGCACACACCTTTATTCCCAGCACTAGGGAGGCAGAGGCAAGAGGATCTCTATGAGTTCAAGGCTTGCTTGGTCTACAAAGTGAGTCCAAGACAGCCAGGGCCCTGTTACACAGAGAAACCCTGTCTGGGGGGGGGGGGGGGGGGGGATGAACTCCCAAACTACCACCATTCCCAAAGCACGAGGCCTTAGCTCTACCGAGGCTCTCACCAGCTCCTGCCCCCACACAGGAGCAGCAGCCCAGCCCAGTGGCTGCACACAGGTAGGTAGCTTCCTGACATACCAACCCTCTGGCAAGGTTCTACCCCAGGTCACCATTCAAGCCAGAGCCCAGGAAGAGATCCTGGTCTGTGGGCCATGACCAGACCACTACAACGGGGTGGTGGGGTGGTCAGCTCCAACACCTTGACCCCCCCAGCCACCCAGGAGGTTGGCCTGGAGCTGTGAGAGCTAGGTCTGTTCAGTATCGGCCCTCAGTGGCACTCTCCGAAAGGCAGCGGGTGGAATCGTGAGGCAGAAAGTAGAGATAGTTCTCCTCTGGGAGGGGAGGCTGGCTTCTGTTCAAAGCCAACCCTGAGCAAAATTGGATCCTGAGTGTGTGCACGCACATCCCAGGCTCCAGCCCCTGCCACGCTGCCTCTGACATGGAATTGGGTTCTCTGTCATTATCCACCACCTCCATCTCCTCTGCGCAGACCGCTCTCTGCTCCCATTCCTGCCCAGCAGCTCTCTGGGTGTCCTTCTCTCAACAGTCCTGAGATTTGCCTCAGCTGACTCCCAAAAACACCTCTGCAGGAGACACTCACTAGGAAGCAATTCAAATCTGTTTCTCTGGAACACAGACATATGATATACATCCTTTGGAAAACTTAGCTGCTCACACGGTAAAGGACGTGCACGAGGCACGCGCCACAGTTTCGTCCCCAGGCCACGTGAAACCTGCTGTGGTACACACACCCACAGTGCCAGCCCTTGAGAGGAGGAGGACACAGACTCAGCCTGGTAATGTAGCGGCCCAGGCCACATGACAGGCTGTCTAGGGACAAATGAAGAACGTGGCTAGCTGAACTGTGTTCCATGAACTTTAAGAAGCATGCTTTAACTGCTGCTGTGAGAAGGGAGAGGCTGTGCTCACCCGTCTTCCCGGTGATAGCTTTCAGATTCCCGTTCTGTCTCCCATGGCTGCGCTCCCAACAGTGTGTCACGCACCCAGCAGCTAATCCTTAAGAAGCACGCCAGAGCAGCACACTAGTTCCCGCACAGAGCTGCCGCTCTGAAGGGGGTTGGTCCTGTCGCCGTGACTGTCGTGTCACTGCAACAACGCTTTGTCCGGCCGTTTGCTAGTCTGGCGGTCTGGTTGGTGTGTTCAGACGGGGTCTCATGATGGGCAAGCAGGCCCTGAACTCACTGAGTGACCTCGAACTTTGACCCTCCATCCTCGGTCAGTACTCTGTGCTCCTGTGGCTTAGAGACTGAAGCCAGGGCACCATGCACACCAGGCAAGCTGTTCACCCGCGCTGCGCCCGCAGCCCCGCTGTGCTCCATAAGCGGAGTGAATCCACGAACACCCAGGACACCTCTGTAGAATAGGGTCTCCCCAGCACCTGACAGACCAGGCGAAGCCCGCCTGCCGTGGAGCTGCCCCCCGTCCAGCATCCTGGTCCCCTGTGAACTGCGTCCCACGCTGCTGTGCACAGACGGCCCTGAGGAGCAGATGACAGGCATGATCCCAAGGGATCGTGTTACACTGGGAACACTCATCTTGGCTCCGAATTCCTGCAAAGCACTGAAGCTCACGCTCACCTCAACTGTGAACATGCACACAAGCACCCACGCACACATCTGCGCACCCATGCACACGCACCCAAGCACATATGCACAAACTTCTGAATTTCTTATCACGCCTATTCCATGTTCTAATTTACTAAATTTTCTTCTTTCCTTGTTAGATTTTCCACCTGCTTTCTGTGGTGGCTCTGCTCAGTCTTTAGAAGTGTGCTTGAACAGACGTGAACTCATGGATTGTTTTTAATCTTGTTTCAGCAATGAAACAATGGAGCGGTGAGTTTCTCTTGGGTGTGCCCCAGCAGGGCCTCAGACTTCGGCCCAACATTCCCATCATCCCTGTGTTCACCGGACGCTTAATTTCACACTTAAATCTCTATATTTCAAGACTAAGCTGAGAAAGTTTTTTTCATCTATTTTTTTTTTAAATTTCCAACTTTTGTTGTTAATTTCTAATTTCATTATACTACGGTCAAAGACTCTTGCATCAAGAGCTTTTTCTTTTTGAAAGTCTTACCAGCTCACCCACTCTACCCACAGACACTTCCCCCAGTCCAGTGCTGGAACTACAGGCATGTACCTCCACTCAGCTACAACATTCATGTCAGCATGCTCAGCCCTATAGAGCTTCATACACACTTGAAAAAGAACATTCTCCGTTCCCAGGGATCGTGTATGCATGCACATGCGTGCCTTTCCTCTCCAGTGTAGGTAGATCAGCGGGCTGTGGCAACTTCATAAACCGTTCACTCTCGGGGCAGTGTCATGAGATCTGGCTTTGATGTGGAGCCCCGCCCTGGCCACGTCACTTTGAGCTCACTCTAAGCTCTTGGCCCAAACAGCACGAGTGTGTCACCCAAGAGTGCCCAGCTGGGGAAGAGATTCTGACCTGTTCACATTTCTACAGTTTATTATAAAGTCCAAAGAGTCTACAGCGATTCCTGCGCAATCTCCTGTCTTTCTGTGTTATCTGGTATCTCCAACCCAATGGCAGAGCCATGATCTGGGTTCTAGTGTAAGAATCTATCCTGTGTGCTTCTTGCCCTTTTCTCTTCAGAGAAGAGAGGAAGTAGCAGCCAGGAGGAGGACTTGATAAGTTCTCCATGTTAACAAAACGTTTCAGAGCTTTTTGAGCGTCTCATTACCTGCCTCAGATCTGCCTCACAAACGTCGTACTCTGCCATCATGGCCACATCAACCATCTGGCCCCCACACTGAGGGGCTTGCTGAGAAGGTCCCAGAGTTGTTCATGAGCCTGCCCCAACACCGGTTCCTGCTTATCTATCCTGAGTTGCTCTGGAATTTCCCACCTGCAATCGTTTCTTTTTAATACATCAGTTCTCTTTAATTTTCCCCAAAATTTCTTAGTTCAACCCACTGGGATTTTTCTTTTTTTCAGATTCTGCTGTCCCTCTGCCCTCTAGCCATCCTTCATACTTCACCCCCTCATAAAGAAATGAATCCAGTAAGCCCTCAAGGATCTCGAACTCCACAAAACACGCAGATCATTCAGGGCACAGAAAACTCTACCCGGTGCCAACATTGGAAATAAGTGCCCAAAGGAAAGACAGACTCCAAATAGATAGCTAGATGGCATGAGAAACATCCCTCTTGGGAATTACCACTAGAGGTGGCAAGATTTGTGTCTGGCCCAGAGCTCATCCCTCTAATGAAAGAAAAAAAAATTGAAGCAGGGTTTGTGTAGCCCAGGCTGGCTGTGAACTCAATAGCTGAGGATGGCCTTGAACTCCTGGTTCTCCAGCCTCTACTCCCTGAGTGCTGATGTTTCAGGCATGCACTACCAGGTCTGGCTTCTAGTGCTGGAGGTGGGCTGGGGTTCCAGGGCTTCGCTCACTAGGAGAATAAGCACTCTTCCTACTCGGCCACATCACCAACCTCTGGAAATAGACATTGGCTTGAAACTGCTGGGCCGCACAGACCAATCAGGTGGGGGGGTGGGAGTGGGTGGCTGGGTGGAGTCCCTCCAGCACAGGAGGCCCCAGGGGTGCAGGGGCCTCTCGAATTGCTGAGAGCCAGGAGAGGAACTGAGGCTTGCAAGTACTGTGGCTTGTGTTTCCTGTTTCAGCAGGCTGCTGTGCGGCAGAACATCAGTCAAGAGGACAATGGCGAGGGGGCTCAGAGCCTCGGGCTGACAGCTTCCCCAGCCTTCTGAGACTGGAGAGACGGAGAAAGGCTGAAGGCCTCCTGAGACACTTGAGGCGGAACCCGGGACCTGAGGTAACTATGGAGGAAGACGCTTTGGGATCCAGGTTTTGTTCTGTTGATGTTAGGGTGGGGCAGAGTATACCCTGCTAGTTTCCTGCATAGCAACAGGTGGTAAGATTTACATGCTGGGGTTTGCCTGACCGAAAGGCACCTGTGTTGCATTCCTCAGCAATCACCAGCCACGGGACACAGCTCCCAAGTCTGCTCCATCTGTTAGCTTAGGTTAGGTGTGAGTAGCGTGGCTTGGTGTTGGCGTGCTCGGCAGCCGTGACACAATTAGACGACCCTTCCCAGATCCCTTCAATGCAGGGATGCCTGTAACAGGCCCTTCTCCTTCCGCTGTACCCGAGAACTCTGAACTGAGGCCATGTCCAGGCAGGAAGCCACCCATCTTCCCTTCCGCATGTGCAGCCAAGAGGTAGAAGCACAGATTTGGCCAGCCTGTGGGTAAGAGGCGGTGCCCTGCTGTCTTGCCGTGCAAGGAGACCCCTAGCCAGCACTGCCCTTCCTCAGAGCTCCACTGGCCCTCTCATGTTGCCAAGGGTACCTCAGAGACTACAGAACGCCTGGGCAGTGGCCTTGTGACCTTTCTCTGAACTACAAGACCAGTTCCTCTTTTCCACAGCCTGTCCCTGTCCTTCAGGCCTTCCACAAGCAGTCTTGTGTTTAAGCAAGCCCTTATGGTCACACCATCCCAGAAGTCTGTGTGCTTCTGTACAGGTGTCCCATCAAACCCCATCTGCGCTGGGGGCTGTGGGTCTGGAGACGCTCCTCTCTGTAGGGACCGTGCCTACCACAACTCCCCTCTGGGTGTAAAGTCCTGATGTTGCAGAGGGTAAAACCACCACATCCAGTGGACCTACAGACAAACTGGATGGACAGCAGGTAGAGAGATCATCTCAGGCCTGCCCTCCACCCCTCAGACCTCCCTTCTTTCCATCTGGAAGGCAGGAGGAGCCTCAACCCAGGAAGCTCACTCCAGTACACAGCCTGTATGTAACAGGCCCAGTGGAACCTAAGCCCTCACACGCTCACAGTGAAGAACCCATTCTCCACCCACCCCTGTGCCTTCCGGGCTGACCGGCCACAGAGAGAACCCAAACTCAGAGCCACGGGAACCAGAGCAGTGAAATTATTCCAAGAGGGAGCTAAAAGCCCTGTGCAGAGCTGAGAGATTAGGGAACCTAGGGCAAAACTGAACAATCTTGGTCCTGGAGTTCGGCTTTGCCTGGGGCATTTGATCACAGCACCAGTGACAATAAGTACAATATTCTATATCTGGTTTTTTTTGTTTTGTTTTGTTTTTATGGTTTTCTCTGTGTAGCCTTGGCTGTCCTGGACTCGCTATGTAGACCAGGCTGGCCTTGAACTCACAGTGATCCACCTGCCCCTGCCTGCCAAGTGCTGGGATGACAGGCGTGCATCATCACGCCCAGACATTGATTGTAAGCCATGTGCTAGGGACGCGGAGTGGATGCTGTCACTTCGTTCTCGTGGCCCTGAAGGGGAAGTTCAGCCCTGTTTCACAGATGAGAGCACCGAGACTTAGCAATGCTTACCAGCTCCCCCTGCTCGGAGGGCAGTGACAGCCTGGAAGTGAGTCACAGTCCAGCAAGGGTGCCCCTCCTCCAGCAGAGACAGAAGAGTCAGGCTTGGAGACTGGCAAGCCCACGTCTCCTCTATACATTCTTTACCACAGAACATGAGTAGGCCTTTTGGCTCCTTTTCTATATAATTAAATTAACAGAGTGACATGTGGGAAGTCTAGGGAACCCCACAGAGTGAGAGGAGGGAGAAAAGCCTGAGGAAAGGCATTCAGAGATTATAGGAAAAGGACAAACGCCACCTCACAGCCCTTGGAGTAAGCTCTGCCCAAGGCAGAGGGTGTCCCTCCAGCACTCTAGAGTCAGATAATTAAAAGCACACAGAGACTGTCCACCCACAGGCTTGGGAACAAGTGCTGGGACCAGAGACAGAGCAGGAGCCCTGCCCAGAATTCTGTCTTGTGCCAGGATAGGCATCGAGGTCCCAACAAAGGAGCACAGGGCCTCTGCCTGCAGAGTCTGTGCAGCCTACAAACAAGCCTGGAGCTCAGAGCTGCCGGTGCTGCAGTCGATGAGGCTGGGCTACTTTCTCTGACCACCAGGAACTGAATTCTGGGGCAGTGGGATGAGCAGGTCATAGAAAAGAAGCACCAGCTCCCCCATCACCCAGGATGACTCCAGAGGGCACAAAGGACAGGGACCTGACTCCAGAGGGCACAGAGGACACGGGGATGACTCCAGAGGGCACAGGG